TCCCTGTCTCATGCTGATTGGTGGCTGCTRGGGGATTGGGTCCCCACCTAGCCTGACTGAGTCATGGACACCTGGCGCAGCAGATCTCTCCTGTTATTTGTAGATAAACCACTTAGCAGGGTGGGAATGTGCCTCTGTGGGTCATGTCCCTTCCTTGGACTGGCTTTGCTCTGAGGTAGAGGCTGGTTTTTCAAGGATCCAACCCAAGGCCTCACGTGTGCTAGATGAGCACTCCACTGCTGAGCCACAACTCCAGCCCCAGGGTTGATATTTTCTAATAAGACATAACATAAAGAAGAGAGGCAGTCTTCCTTAGTTTGCACTGCACTGCACTGCACACAGCTTTGACATTTTAACAGCACGAAACCATGACTTGGCATTGACTAGTATGAGCTGCATTAAGAAACTTTTTGAAAGGAGACAGAGATGGCCATGGGCCTGGCAGTCCCACTGGTACCAATGTAACAGCAGTCTACTTTAGCCCTTGCTTCTCTGCCACTGCAACTTATTTTTCAAATGGACATGTTTTTTTCTCTTCCTCTCTCCCTGCTCCTCCCTAATCTCAGGGGGAAAAGGATTACCTTTCTTCCACTTTTAGGCAGATTTATCTGTCCTTGAACACACCCACCACAGGAACTAAGTAATTCAGACTTCTGGGATAGAACCCGAGATCTCCCAAATTAACAAGCGAATTACAATTGCAAACAGAATGCATGGAATGTAGCCTTTGAGTCACCTCTTTAAAAGCCCTCTTTGTACCTGCTGACGGCAGAATCGCAGCATTTGGGACAGGACTCCCCTATGTTTCTCCTTTGCTAGCAAAGCAATAAACCTTCATTTTCCTTTTCCTCAAAACTGTGTTCTGGTTATTGGATTGGCATGGGGGACAAGGACTGAGCTTTCAGCAACACCAAGATGGAGGAGTAGTGTTATGCTTGAATTCGGGACCCCCAAAAGACCACCAGAGACTGAGATCGATGTAAGCAGCAAAGAGGTGTTTATTGCGAGCTAGCTGGGTCCTCCTGGTCCTCCGCGCACACAGCAACTGGTGATGCTGAGAGGCCCCRAGCCCAGGGTTTGCAGCAGTTTTATACACTCTTTGGGGAAGGCAGGGACTTCACATACATCATAGCATCTCTTAGCAAATCATCACACAYTGCGGGAAAATCAAACAACAACTCTAAAACACGATTAGCACATTCACTATTGGGAACAAGTTGGGTAGGGGTGATTGGTTAGTACAAGAGAGAGATTCCTTTGAATTGATTGGTTTAAGCCATGAGGGGAGTAGTGCTGAACTACATGGTTTCCCAGCATGTTATCAACCACCATAAACTACTGGGAGGGTCATCTGGCATCCCAGGTATTTTCCTGGTCTCAAGCTGATTGGTGGCTGCTAGGGGGTTACTATGGGTCCCCACCTAGCCTGACAGAGTCAGGGACACCTGACACAGCAGATATCTCCTGTTATTTGTAGATAAACAACTCTGCAGGGTGGGTATGTGCCTAGGAGTGCTCTGTGGGTCTTTCCAAGGACAAGGGTCACGCCCTCTTCTTTGGACAGGCTTTGCTCTGAGGTAGAGGCTGGTTTTTCAGTAGCAGCCTGCTGGTAGATACCTGGCTCCAAGAGAAAGTCATTAAACCTAGCAGAAGGGTCAGAACCAGCAGAAATGGCCATGATGTTCAGGAAATGGCAAGTATTCGATGACCAGATCTGATCATTCTTTGATTAAGTGGAGGACTCCTGGAGATTTTGAGCAGTACTTGGCATAAGTCTAGGGAACCTGATAAAGTGGTGGAACATCAATGTAGGAAGAAGAGAAAGTGCCTTTTTGTCTTTAGTTGCAATTTGCAGAAAAGCAACTTCTTATTGTTACTGAAACCTGGGTCCAAAACAACTATCTGGCAGGTTGGGTTATCTAGGGCCATCCTTCCCCAGACACCTTTGTTTTACCTTTCCTGGAGGCAACCCAAGTTTAGAAGTTAGGGAGCCCCTGGGCATTTGCATTGTCCACAAGGACCTCAGTGGGTGTGTTGGCATCAAAGGTATTCACATTCTACTTGATAACTAGAGAGGAACTCACAGGTATTCTTTATGCAAAAGGCAAGAATCCTGATTCCATTAAAGTTTTTTTTTTTTTTTTAAGTTGTAGATGGACACATACTTTATTTTATTTATTTATTTTTATGTGGTTCTGAGGATCCAACCCAGTTCTTCCCATGTGCTAGGCTGATGCTCTACCACTGAGCCACAACCCCAGCCCAAGAATCCTGAATCTTTTTTTGACTGCTTTGAATTTTTTCTTTRGTGAAAGAAAAGGGCATTAGATTTGGGAAACACTAGTCTAAGTTGTAGTTCCTATGCTAAAATGGGGGGAAAAGATGTGTCAGGGTAGGTGAGATTTCTGGAATGGAGAAGAGAAACAAAATGGAGGTGACCTGAGGGAGCTACGGAAGGAGGGACTCCTCAGCATCTGCCTCCCCCTGAAAATCATTTGGACAAAGTTGAATGATTATGAGGAAAGTGGAAATGCCATAGAAACTAGGATATAAATCTGAGGGGCTTGGAGGTCACACGTATGGGATGTATATTCACTCAGAAACACTTTTTATGTACATATATAATTGTCTGGATACATACCGGTATTTTGGGTAACAACACCCATTTAAAGCAAAGTTTTTTTTTTTAAATATTTATTTTTTAGTTGTAGTTGTCAAAACCTTTATTTATTTATTTATATGGTGCTGAGGATCAAACCCAGGGCCTCGAACACGTGAGGCGAGCACTCTACAGCTGAGCCACAACCCCAGCCCTGAAGCAAAGTTTTTAATCAAACTTTATTTTTTCCCCAAATTCCTTTTTATTGGTGCATTATACTTACACATAATGGTGGGATTTGGTGTTACATATTCTTACATGCACACAATATAACAATATTATTTGGCCAATATCACTCCTCAGCACTTCCCCATTTCTTCCCTTCCTCTTCATCCCTTTCCTCTACTGATCTCCCTTTGATTCTCAAGAGATCCCCAACCCTCCCCTTTGTTTTCCTTTTTCCTCTCTAGCTTCCACATATTCCAGAAAATATATAACCCTTGACCCTCTGAGTTTGGCTTACTCCACTTAATATAATGTTCTCAAATTCCATCCATTTTTTTCTGCAAAGAACAACATTTTATTTTTCTACAGTTGAATAAAACTCTTGTGTATATATACCACATTTTCTTTATCCATTCATCCATTGAAACCAGCTAGACTGGTTTCATAGTCTGGCTATAGTGAATTGTGCTGCTATAAACATGGGTATGCATAGATGCCTTTAATTCTTCAGGATATATACTGAGAAATAGTATAGCTGGGTCATATGGTGGTCTTTTGAGGAATCTCCATGCTATTAATCAAACTTTAAACTACAATTTTATTTACTAAGAAGGGACACTCCTGGATTATAAGAAGGGACACTCCTGGATTTTACCTTTCATGAAGAAAACTGGACAGATTCTTTTCTCTTTTTCTCCTATCCTATGTAACCCGGCTATTTCATTCCACCTGTACCTTGTTCTAGCAGCTCAAGTTCCTGTGTTCTGCAACTAAAACAGACTTTTCCTACCTCCTTCTCAGACTTAAAGTCCATTTTTTCTCTGTCTTCATATCTCTAATTAACAACTCTGATATTAGACAAGCAACTACTGGCTGATTGTGACTTATAGTTTCTTTTCTTAGATGACCTACTATGGTGCCTTAATTGTATCTCCAGAGAAGTGGCAAACAGTGAAAATTTTGAGTATTGTATAATGCTGAATTATACAATATTATGTGGTGCTGAGGATCAGACCCAGTGCCTCACATGTGCAGGGTGAGAACTCTACCACTGAGCTACAACCCCAGCTCCTATGTTAAAATTTTAATTGTTAAAACATTAATAAATTAACTACCAAAAGAAAGGTTAACTCTAATAAAACAGTAGGTGCCAGGAACTGTTCTAAGTATTTTACAGGTATACATTTAATTTTYAGGACAACTCTATGGAACAGGAACTCTTTTATCCCCATTTTGCAGATGAGGAAAGTGAAACAGGAAGAGATAAGTAAATAGTGGTAAGTCTAGTGGGTAGGAAATGATGGAGTCGGGTTTTGACGTTAGGAGGCTTGGTTCCAGAGTGGATGTTGTATCAGAATCAATGGCTTTTTTTTTTTTTTTTCTTTGTCAAGGAAAAGTTGATGGGAATGGTTGCTAGTTTCTCAGATTACTCTGGCAGGATGGTCCTATCTACAGTTCCTCGTGGGGGTGAGGCAGCCTCTGAAGTGAGGGGTATCTTGGAACTTTTGTTCTGACACTAAGAAGCCACATCATATTTGCAGTTTTTTCCTCCAATAAAACAAGGTGGGGTCCAGGGAGATGACTAGATAGTCTATAAGATGGTTCTAGTTCCAAGATAATTCAATATATCCAGCATTCCTGCACCAAAGTGCTGATCTTTTGGTGTCTGTGGGGGAAAGAAGCAAGTTTGCGCCTGCATCCTAGATCTTGCAATGGAGGAGCTGTGGGGTACGGTGCTGAAYAGATACCTGGAAAGAACTGGGAGCAAGAAATGAAGGTTAGAGTTCCAGGAAACTTCAGTTTGTTACCCAAGAAACACAAGAGACACAATTAACTGAGCTGTGTGTTCTAAACAGATGGTTACTTTTATATTTTCACAGCAAGCTTGGGAAGTAGATAGTATTGTCTCCATTTAAAAAAGGAAGCTGAAGCTTCCCAAGGTGGCCCAATTAGCAAGTGAGGCAGGTAGGATTAAAATTCAGTCCGTAGGATTCCAAAGCCCACGCGCATTTCACAACCCGCGCCTCCTTAAGTATCAGCTATTTCATCCCAGTCTGTCCGCAAGCCTATGGGCTAGTTATTACTTCAACCCCATTAGACCGACAAGGCAAGTGAGACTCAAAGTGGGGAAGTGACTTGCACCGCGGCCGTGCCCTGCTCCTGGCTGGGCTCCGCAGCAGGTCCCACCTTCCCAGGTCGCAGCCCACGCGCCGCGCGCTGCGAACTACACTTCCCGACAGGACGCGGTCGCGCGCACGCGCACCCGGGCCTCCGCCATGGCGACCGTGCTGTCCAGGGCGCTCAAGCTCCCGGGTAAGGAGCCTCAGCCTTGCGACCACCCTTCCCCGCCAGTCCTGGGGAGAGTGAGGCGAGGCTCTGGGGGGGCGAGGTGGGCCGGGGCTTGGTCTCAACCCGGGCGATGCTGTAGCCGTCCAGAGGCAAGGAGGGTGCAGCCCCGGCACCCGGGGTCCCTGCACCACCAGGGGGCGGGAGGGGCGTCTGGAGAGGCGGGGGTCGCGGGCGCGGAGCGAGCCTGGGAGACTCGAAGGTAGGGACCGCTGGAGGCGCTCGGGGCAGGTGTCCCGGAGCCGGCGGGAGCTGCTGCGGCAGGGACTGTCACAGCGCATGTCGCCGCGGTCCCCAAGGGAGGGCTGATGGAGGGAGCATCCTTCCCCGAGCGTGGCGGACGAAGTACCGCGGGGACTCCAGCTCCTGCCTTGAATTAACCTAGGCGGATGCAGAGGGCGGCGGGACAGTTAGTGACCCTTAGTGAAACAACCTCTCCACCCCCAAACAGGCTGTGACCCAGTCGGGAGCTAGATGAGACAGGTATTTCCCTTCGTAGTGTATAGAAGAGGAAAATGAGATTAGGAAAATGGCTAATCGAATTGTCTATGGTCGCATAAACAGTATTGGAAGAGCCTGTCCTTGAATCTGGAGTCTTTTTTTTGACAGTAGACCCTGAGCTTTTGACTCTACTTGGCTGTGGAGCACCTGTAAGTTGCCGATAATGTATGGGATATTCTTTAAGGAAGCACTGGTGGAGGGGACAACTTCCAGAGCTGATTCAGGACTTTGGGCAGCAGCTTAAGGTTTTGTTTATTCATCTCAAACTTATGGAATGGGACTGTACTCTTATTAGAAATTTGTTCTTTTAGTAAAAGTATATTTATTCTGCCCAGGTAAATTTTAAACATCAAGGCTTTAAAAAATTTATGATTCCCCTCAAATACATTATAAGCATTACATTTACTTGCTGATAACATCAAAGAGTAAAGGGAAAAGTAGTGTTTTCACTGGCAACTTGGACAGGTCTACTTGGGTGTCTGTTGTATATCCAGCATTAGGCTGTCAGGGATTGCAGGGCCTTGGTTCTACAACTACAAGAGTTTACCATTGGTTGCTTTGAAACAAGACTTGTACCTTGGATGAGTGTGGGTTGGATATGAATTTTCATTCCTGTCCCGAGACTTCATGACCTGAGAAAGACTTTTTTCCCTTCCTGGGCTCATTAGCACATTGGAAGGAACATTGATAGTATCTACCTTGAAATGTGTATATAATACTGGAATTAATTAATAAATAAATTAATTACTTGCAGGATTATTTCACTTTAAAGAGTGTAGCCTTAGTGTAGGACCATATCCTCTCAAAGGGGTAATGAAATGTTATACATATTTAGCTTTCTTTTTCCTTTTAAGAGTTCTTGTTTTTTTTTTTTTTTTTTTTCAGGATAGATAATTGTTATTCTAGGAGGTTGAGAATGCAAAAAAAAAAAATCTTTCTTTCCCTCTCCATTTTTTTTTTTTTTTTTGTATTTTATTTAGAGATAGAGTCTCACTGAGTTGCTTAAGGCCTTCCTAAGTTGCTGAGGCTGGCTTTGAACTCGCAATCCTCCTGCTTCAGCCTCCCCAATCACTGGCATATGTCACCATACTGGCAAGAAAATCTTTCTTTAGAAACCCTTGAGCTCTTTCGTGATCTCACATCCTAAAGCTATGGCATTATAATTCCCTAGTGTGTTCAGCTGACAGTGTAGGTAAAGGATTTCTATCACCCTGTCTTTGGGCCTGAAGTTGGCATACAGCTTAACCCTGATACAGTCCGGATATAGTAGTCATATGCTCTTTTATGTGATATGGATTTTTTTCACTTCCACTTTTCCTGGTYTCCCTCTTGCCCTTTCTCCCCTCCACACAAAATATAGTTTTTGACTATAGTAGTTAGATGTTGCTTTTTCATAGCTATTTTTGGGGTTGTGAGGCTGCTGTCCTGTTTGAATTATTGTCTCATGTTAACCTTAGTTAACATCTTTACTATTTTTCTGAGGAAGGCTGAATAGAATATTGGCTAAAAGTAGAAGATGGACTCAGGATCATATCCAGTCTTCACCTGCTTAGTTACTTAATCTCTGAGTTTCCTCATCTGTAATAATAATATTTTTATGGAACATTCACTACATGCCACACAGTCCATTGCATATTTACCTCATAGGGTTATTTGGAATAGTTAGAGATGAATGTCTTAGGAGGTGTATTAAATTTTGACACATTAGCTATTGTCATTATCATATAATGTCACTATCYTTTATGAATGTAACACCTGAAGGAAGTCCTGATGCAGAAGTGAGCTAGTGACAGATCTCAACAATACGTTGATGAAAGAGCAGTTGCTGGGAATGTATTTCATCATCTCATACCCTTTCACTAATCTCAGCATGAAAGATGTTTGGCTCACATGTATAACATGAGGTTAATTAGTAACAGAAGGATGATGTGACATTCATAGGCTCGTGGAACAACTTAAGTATATATATATTTTTTAGGCCATTTTAAAGTTTGAAGGTTAAACACTGAAGGGAACATCAGAGCATAATGTTACTTTTATGGTTTGTTTTATTATGTGTGACTTAGAGTGATTATGTGCTCTAGATAAACTAATCCATGTTTTAAAATGTTTACCCTAAGTTGCAGTTATATGTTCCATAGTATGTGTGAAGTATATTGTACACTATAATACAGTATATGTAATGGGATAGTATATGTTTTAGTTTATTTTCCACAAAACATTTGGGAAGGGTATAATTGCAACCTTCCCATTAATGTTTCCTCTGGACCAATTTGGAAATGCTATGTAGTTGGTATCCTCAGTCTCCCTAGGAGGAAAAGTAATAACCTTGGAAAGCTCATTTATATTGGTGTGTTATGAAATCAGTGCCCTCTCCTGTGTTCTTTGCAAATCTTACATTGATTAAAAATCTGGGTGGTGGCTGAAAGCAACAAAGAAGAGAGTAAGTGTTCAGTTCCCTCACCTTTGATTTGAAGCATGGATTTGATGCCAACTCCTCAGCCTGAGTATGACCTAAGGCAATTAGGGGGGCTTCTTTATACTTCATTCCCTCTTTTTGTCTTTCTGTGAGTAAACAGAGAAAAAGTTGTTTAGGACTAATCAAACCTTGCGATCTGTAATAATTAAGCCTAGGTTTGTTTTTGCATTATCTGAAAAAATGTATTAGTATAAAAGTAAATATTATGGTCCAAAGGTTGGTCAATAACTGGCTGTAGTCTGTGATCTTTTAAAGAAAACACAGGACTAAGTAAGGTAGCTGTAGCTGAGTTCTTGTTGTTGCCTTTATCCTGCAGGGATAACATGGGTCAGAGTTCTTGGACTTCGTAACACGTGTTCTTTCTGTAGGATTTTTTAAGATACTGCTCTACTCTTTTGTATGTTACTGTGGAGAAGTCAACTTGATTTTTGTTCCTGACATTAGAGACTTGATTGTTCTTCCCCTGGCCTCATAACATTCCTTCTTTGCCCTTGAAATCCAGTGACTTTACAAAGTATGTTTTAGTATTGATGATTCGTATCTGGTTTTTTTTGGACCTCTGTGTGCTCTTTATTCTTGAGTTTTAGATCTTGGTTTATTGCAGGAATTTATTTACATCTCCTTTGAATATTGTTTTTGATTCTGTTTTTTTCTTTGGTTATGTCTATGTTACCCTTGTTCTCTATCAGTTTCTTCCTAGTTTTTTAGATGTCTTGATCTTTTCCATGGGAGATATATTGGTAGTCAGTAGAAACTGTGACGATGGTCTGCCGAGGTTTGAACTTATTTGCTGTTTAACTATGGACCAGTTGCTTAAACTTCCAAATCTCAATTTCCTTATCTAGAAAATGAAAGGTGTTAATGAGTATATCTCAAAGAGTTGTTGTAAAGGTTTATTGAGCTGAGACATTAAAAGGGTTTGTAAGTGCTCAGAACAACCAGCCTTGTTATTTCCATTTCATTGCTTTATTTTCACTGGTTGTTTTAGTCAGCATTTGGCTTCTGTTACCAATAAGCCTGCAAGAAAAATGTAGAACAGGAAAAATTTATTTGGGGCTCACAGTTTCAAAAGTCTTAGTCCATAGAAGTCTGACACCATTGCTTTGGACCCCAGAGAGACAGAATATCACGGCAGAAGGGCATGGTGGAGAAAAGGAACCCAGGACATGGTACCAGGAAGCAGAGAGAGCTCTGCTCACCAGGGACAAAGTATGAACCCCAAAGATACACCCCCAGTGACCCACCTCCTCCAGCCACTCCACTTAGTCCATGCCAGTGGATTATTGCACTGATTAGGTTAAAGCTCCTGTAAACCAATCATTTCACCACTAAACTTTCTTGAATTGTCGTGTACATGAGCTTTGGGGGGTACCTTATATCTAAACTCTGGTCAATCCTTTATGTATGTTTTCAACAATGTTTATTCTTTTTTTTTT